CGATTAAAATGCTACCGTGTATATAATTTAAAAAAAGTATTTGTCCTAGTGAGTCTTTACCTGTGTCTTGCCCCATCAGACCATTGCAGTACATGGCATGTCGCTCAATCTTTGTGGGTGGGAAGCCTTGGTTACACAGTGGGCAGGATACCTGGTTAGTGGATGAAAAGGTAGAAGCAGGTCTTGCCTTCTCAGCATCTTCCCTGTTACCAACCTAAAGAACATAATCAACCATTATAACAGCTTCAGTTTATAAGTATCTTTCCCCCCCCAGAGAAATGCAACAGACTCCAGCCATATCTCATTTATTCTCAAGGAGACAATTATCAATCAACTCAGTTGATAAAGCGTGGGATGGAGGATTGGGAGGTATAGCTAACACTTAGGCCAAACCGTCTGAGGTACTCACATGCCCTTTAACACATGAGAAAAGGGCTGTCCAAAACAGTACAGCAATTTGCCCAAAGTCACAGAAGAAGTAGCAGAGCTAAAATTCACAGAGTACAATTTGACTCCAAAACTGGAGCACAATCTCTCTGCCACACTGCAAGGCATGTCGTTGAGTCACTGGCCTACTGTGTTTTAATGCCATGCCTGAGTTTGTAGATCAACAGCATCTTAAAAATATTTTTTGAATCTTACCAAACAACTGTGATCACTTTAACTTTATGACATAAGGAGTTAGGAAACAAAAGAAACTAAACCAGAAGCAGCACAGTTAGCATTTAAGTTAAGAACCTAAGTCTCTACTTGGGCCACCTAAGACAAAATACCTCTCACATATTTTATTCAGAATGTGATACTCCAACTTTTGGGATTGAAAGAGGAAATAAAACTAAGACCCAACTACTTAAAAGAAAGCCCAAAGAAAATAATCAATTAATACAATCAGTCCTACGACGCTATTCTTTTACCTTATCTTTGTTACTTCGCACAATGTTTTATAGATGCCATTGCTCCTATGGTTGCCTGTATTGCTCAGAGGCAGTTTTATTTTATCTGTACAGGTCAGAGCCGAGAACTCTGCAGTGATTAATTCAACAGTGTGCGTGAGCACTGCAGCACGACTGCCTAACACTTGCTTTAAAGGACAGCATGTCCTATCCAATCTATGTGAAACTGCCCTGCATAGCCACTGCTTTCACTAAAGGACAAGGAGCCAGCCCCTAGGTTGTTACATGCCTCACTAAGGAGGGAAAATAAACCTTCTTCTGGTATAAAAACAAAACTGACCAAATCTACAATGGTATATAATCCGAGCTGTGTCAACTGAGATCTTCTGGTCTGTATATTTTGGATATCCCTAAAATCTACTGCTTATGAATGTGGACCAGCAAAAAAGAGAAACAGGCTATTTAAACACTATGAGTCAAACAGTTTCTATAGCTGCCCCAAAATGTCTTCTTTATTTTAAAAAACATGCTGTGAAAGGGCAACAAAAGAAAGATGAGACCAAAACTATTAATTATTGAGTTCTTATATTATGCCAGGCTTGGCCATGCATTTTAGATATGCATTCCTTACAACCACCACCTAGATACAGATATCACAGGCTCCAATATCACAGAAAGGGAAACTGAGGCTTAGAAAGTAAAGCAACCGGCTGGTGACTAAATTAACAAACAAGACAATCAAGGTTGAACCCCAGGATTGTTTGGTAACAAAAATTTCAATATTTCCATTCTATCATGTTGTGGCAGAAGCAAAAAGCCTCTACTTAGTTTCTGTAAGCTGATTCTGCCAAGTATCGGGAGACTATCTGTTTCTATTATTCTTACCTAAAGGATGGTGAGTCAAGTGGGCTGGAGGTCCTAGGTTGTTATTTAGTCCAAGCTTAGTCATTGGGCTTCCTGCTCCCCAACCCCAGGTTCCTCTGTTCATGTATCTCACAAGAAAGGGTCTTGTGCATATAAAGCTACCTGAGTGCAGGGTCAATGAATACCTAGAAATAGTCTTGAGTTGCTGAAAATTAATAGCTATCGATAGCAGTTACCTGGCATTCTAAAGTTCACTAGGCACAGAAATGTTATGTGACATGAATGTCACTGGAGCTCATACCAAGCACTGTACTCCTTTGTATTCAACGCCAGCCCTCTAAAATGCAGAGAATGTACCTTATACTACTAATGTATTCAAGAGGGAGTAGTCTGTCTATTGTTGTCTTATTGTGAATATAAGACAGCTTCCAACTACA